GGTCTGGTCCGCAGGGACACAACTAGAGCGGCTCTAAGAATCTGGGATTGAGGCTGACCCACGACATTCGTGCATCAGGATTTGCATGAAAGATGTGTGCAAGCCCTAAACCCTAAACGCTAAACCCTAAACCCTAAACCCCAAACCCTAAACCCTAAACCCTAAACTGCATGACTTGTCACGCTTGCCGTGATCGATGCATAGATTCAGACACGGTAGCTCGCCAGCTTGGCTTCAACCTCTACCAGATCAGCGCGCAGCGAGGGCGGCGGTCTTACCCATGCCTACTTGGAGGTTCATGGGGTAGTTGTAAGTAGGGTTCTTAATTCTGGCAGCTATACTTCAAACCCTACTTAGGGTACTTGAAACCTTGCTTCTAACGACCCCTGAACCTCCAAGTACTGTCAAGAGGGCTTTCTTTCTGGCTCCCGTGCTTCTTCAACCCCCTGGCTCTTCGTAGGGAATGAGGGAACTAGGGCCCCATGCATACCTTTTTTTGGGGTAATAGAGCGTGCCCTCATTCTCTCATTCCTAATATAGGGGTACCCTCATTCTCTCATTCCCTACTAAGAACCAGCCAGTCAAGCTCCTGAGCTGCTCCCTTGGGACAGAGGCAGCTGGATGCCACGGCAGCCGCTCTGGAGCTGGCGAAGTCGGCTCCAACCTCAGCAGTGCACAGTGCGGGAGGACGAAGGGGACTGGATGAAGGCTTCATCTTGAGGGTACAGGGTTTAGGGCTTCGGGGTTTAGGGTTTAGGGATGTTTAGGGTTGAGGGTTTAGGGTTTAGGGGTTAAGAAGAATGCTCCTGTCAGTAGACTCAGCCATGACTTCCCAACCTAGGGCTCCAGTCTTTGTTCCGACTCCTGAGTTCGTGGTTGTCACAGCTGGCTGTACACGCGTGGCTGCGGGATGCGAAGCACCGACCTGGTCTGACTGTAAGCAGGTGCTGAAGCAGATCAAAAAGCTGGTCGGCGGCGGCAAGGACAGGGCTTCAGCTGCAGCAACATAAAATTGCACAAGACAGCCAACCTTGCATGTGGCCCCCTTCCCCTGCAAAACTTGCCGATAGTCCTAAGCTCTTGTCTTAGACCAAGGCTGAAGGTTGTTCTTTCTCACTCCCCTCAGCCCCCAACGTACCACGAGCTGGAGAGGCGCCAAGCAAGGTGGTCGATGTGGAAGCAACTACGAAGAAGCCGTGACCGCATTGCACCTCCGAAGCATGTGGAAAGAGGTGGCCAGAGGTGGGATTAGGTGCTACGGATCAAAGGTTGGAGGTATGCCCCGCGTTACGTGACACTTGTGACTCACTTGTGCCTGAGCTTTGTTACATCAAGAAGCTGGCACCTCTTAGGGTGTTGAAGTGGGTAGCACTTACCCTCGAGCTCTTACACCATGCTGGTGGCAGAGAGCATATGGACGTCGGGTTGAAGCGCAGGGTTTCCAAGGCCTCGCCCCAACACAACTCCGAGTGGAAGATTTCCAACATGAAGGCTAGGGGCTTCTACAATACGCGTAATTTCAATATCAACATGAACATTCGTATCAGCAAGAATAGCAATATATATATATATATATATACTTTTTTTCGGGCCAGGGGATTTAAACTGCGGGGGACGCTGATTCATGGACACTCTAAACCCTGAACTTGCTCACGAATGGACACTTTGCATCCCTGCAGTGTGATTTAAAGGCAGGTGGAGAACAAAGAGAAGACCCTAAACCCTAAACCCTAAATACCCAAATACCCTAAACCCTAGGGAAGTGGGGGGGGGGGGGGGGGGGGGGGGGGCGGAATGTCTTCGCGGACTCGAAGAGGGCCTGCGAGGCGAAGGTGGGGCTGCGCAGGGGAGACCCTATCTTGGAGGTTCATGGTACTTACTCACCACTTGTAAGGGGTTGAGGGTTTTAGGGTTTTAGGGTTTTAGGGTTTAGGGTTTAGGGTTTAGGGTTTAGGGTTTAGGGGTACTTACTAACCACTTGTAACTGTACTTATAACCCACTTATAAGCCCCTTAAGTGCCCTAGTCTGGTTATAAGTACACTTGCAAGTACAGTTATAACTGGTTATAGGCAATACTAACCACTTATCACTGGGCTTATAACCCTACTCATATTTGGGATAACCCCTATAAGGCCCTTTAGGGGCATTATAAGTAGGGTTATAAGTACAGTTATAGTTGGTTTGTAAGTACCATGAACCTCCAAGTAGGGGCCTGTGGAGTTGGGATGGGGTAACTTCGGGTAGTTCACATTGAAAACTATATTGGGCGTAACGAGGTATACTGGGAGTTCGGCTCCTGTATCAGCCTTTATCAGTTTTACCTATCAGTAGCTGTGCCTTTGCAGTTCAATCCCTGGACCAGGGTTTAGGGTTTAGGGTTTAGGGTTTAGGGTTTGGGGTTTAAATAAAGCTCATGCTCGACAGCCCACAAGATCAAATAGCATGCAGAAAGTCCAGAAAAATTGCAGAGGCACGCGCCAGCTAGACAAGCCTGTTTCACACGAAGGGGGTTCCCCAGCGGCTTGTGCCTGTGATGCCACCCTAAACCCGAAACCCTAAACCCTGAACCCCTTGGACTCCTCGCAGAGTAATTAGCGTTTCAATGCAGCTAACGATCGTCGGGTGAAGGGGGGGGAAAGGGGTAAACCCTGAGCCCTGAAACCCTAAACCCTCAAACCCCTAAACCCCAAAGCACTGGACAATTATGTTCGAAAAGCTCGTGGATGGGAAGGCAGTGGCTTTGCCATTAGTTTTGTTTGGGGTTGAGGCTGAGGGTTCAGAGTTTTCGGGGTTCATCAGCGTAGTGTGATTCTTCAAGTTTCCGCAGAATCCTGACTCTTGAACTGTGATCCTACAGCTTCCGTTGTGAGCCTCCATGTCGAACTGGAAGACGCAGTTTTTCGCAGTCCGCTGGGGATCATGAAGATGATTTTTTCAAACGGCTTGTGCCCTCGATAGCACCTCCCGAGCACGAGGCTGCCAGCAAAGATAAAGGCTTCATTCTCTACATGATGGTTCCTTTTGGGCTTTTCTTTTCTTATACGGAGACCTTCTATGTGGGTACGCAAATGGGGACCAGAGTTTAGCGAACTGCACATCATGTGTCCTTCTGCAATGATGCGCACCTCAGATTCGGCTGCCGCACGACGACTCGAGCTCTAGATATTCTAGATGACGCCAGAGAGAGAGAGAGAGAGAGGTATAGTTACCAGAATCAGACCCCTTCTTCTGACTACCCTTGAACCCGCCCAGTAAAGTCCCAGAAATCCTGAAGCAATTAACGCGCGCCGGGCCTCTGCAGCGTCCAAACATGCCTTTCCTTCTGGCTCCCTGCACGGGGAACCCAAGAGCCACACATGCACAAGAACAACAGGGTTTAGGGTTTAGGGTTTAGGGTTTAGGGTTTAGGGTTTAGGGTTTAGGGTTTAGGGTTTAGGGTTTAGGGTTTAGGGTTTAGGGTTCAGGAAAGCGGGCAGGCTGAGGACAGCGAAATATTGTTCTGCTTTGGGAATCATGCCCTCACTGTTGTAGGTGGGTCTGACCTCCCTTTTTGATCAAACGCCTGCCGCCTTCAGCTTGCGCGAGTCGCTGCGGCCATTTCCTGTGACAACCGTGCTGTGGTCCTGCGCCTCACCCGATTTCTGAGGGATGTGTCCTGGCAGGGGCCTTTGATGGCCTTTGCCTGGCTTCTGGGCGGCGGTGTCCGCGGCTGCTTCTCGCGACCTTATCGTCGCCTGGATCACTTCTCACCTCCCCATTCTGCCCGGAGTGGGAGGGAGCACGGGCCCGACTTGCTACGGCTACCGAGTGGTCCCACCAGGCCCTACGTGCGCATGAGGCCCTTCGTGAGCGATTGTGGGAGTGGCTTTTGTCTCAGGGCCGAGCGTGATGCTGGCCGAGACCAATTTCGAGGTGCCTGGTATCCACCTGGTTGCTCTGGAATAAGTGCCACGGTGACCGCGCCTCATTTTGTCTCCTATGACTGCCTCAGCTTGTAGGAGTTTCGAACACTTGGAGGAATAAGTTCCTCTTTGACCGCGCCCCTTTCGGTTAGGGCTTAGATAGCTTGGTTTCCTCCCTTTTCCCTCCTTTTCTGCCTGCACTCCTGTGCATGCGCCGCGGCTGCTTGTCGGATTCTTCCGCCTCTAGCCTGCACTTGGCCCGTTTTGATCTTTGAGTGGCACCGTACAGTTTCTTTGGGTCCCTGTGTGGCCCCAGACTGCTCCGGATTCAAGTATCACTGAAGCCACGGAGGTCCACTGCACCGCTTTTGCTCGTGTCCTTGTGTTTTTGTTCATTTGTGAGTTGCTGGTGACCGGTCTTATCTTGTGAGGACCGCTGTGCGGGTCAGCATTTTGCACCCGCGGCCTGTCAGGTCTCTTAACTACCCGTTGCGGAGCAGGTTGACATTTCTTCAATATCAATATTAATATCATGTTTTGGGAGAGAGAGAGAGAGAGAAGCTGGTGTTGTGCAGAGTGGTGCTGCCCTCTGCTGGGTTGTCTGGCTTTTGCCTTTGTTGTTTGATGTTGTTTGTTTGCGCGCGTGTGTAGACGAAGAGGGCACGGTTGCTGGGCTCGGGCGTCAGGCTCCTCGCAAACTTTATTGCAAAGTTGAGCATCTTCTTCGCAGTTGGCTGTAACAATGGATACTGGAGTCTGTCTGGGTGTCGTACTCGCTGTGAGCAAAAAAATGTCGCTATTGTACATGCACCATGTGTTGTCCAGTACCCTGGACTGTTCCCGGCACATGCTGCACGTCAGCCGTCACGCCAGCCTCTGGCCAGCACACTTGGAGCTCAGCCCCACAAGATCGGTGCAGATGTCTGCAGGTCAACAACTCAAGGACACTATGCTTCCCCCCATTCTGTTTTGTACACGAAGCTAGCCTGCCATTTCCGAATTCTTCAACCACCAAGTGCGCCATGGGAAAATGTATGAGCACTTCCGAAGGAGCACCTGGGGGTCGCTGCTCTTTGTTGTACGAACAACATGCGCCGATGTGGGTGGTGAAAGTCGCAGACGTCTTGGCGATGTCCGAGGTTCGCCCCCATAAACTCCTGAAGGCGGAAGGTCTTCTGTCGGAATGGAGCGCCGGGATGTTCACCATCTTTGTTTCACACCAGTGGCTGTCTATCCAGCACCCGGATCCGGATGCAGAACAGCTGCAAGTGCTGCAAGCAGTTTTGAGACGTCTCATTGCGAACACACTGAAAATCGACTTGGATGTGGCCTCGCAGTTTTTTGGCGGCAAAGTTGGGAAAGTAGAGATCGAGCGGTTAGGTGAGGCCTACATTTGGTTGGATTACTTCTGCGTTCCTCAGCTCTGGGAGGGTCAAGAGCTCCTGCTTCCAGAACAGACGCTATACATTCGAAGCATTCCGAATTACGTGGACCACTGCTTCGTTTTTCTAGCTCTGGTACCCAGGGCCATTCACCGTCAAACTGGAGAGCCCTGTTCAGTCCACAGTTGGCTTCAACGAGGTTGGTGCCGCACGGAGCTTTGGTGCAATTTCCTGTCCACGAGATCGAAGCATCTGATTGTAGTAACTTACCTGCCCTTCATGAAGTTAGGGCACTTTGTTGCTCTTCGTTTGGCTGGGGTCTGGCTCACACATCTCCTACATGTTTAACTCAATTACGCAGGGGAGCGCTCGCTCGATAAGACAGCCAAGGTGGTGAAGAGTGAGGACAACGTGCAGTTCACCTCACCTCTGTGGCATCGATACCCAGTGCACTTGGGCGATTTTGCCATTGAGAAGGATCGGACTTCGTGCACGCTTGTCATTCAGAAGGCTTTGAGCCAGTACATATCGGAGCTGCGTCAGGCAAAGCGCAAGAGAGTGGCCTACAGACTTTACCTTGCCCTCTTCGAAGCCATGACAGGCCTGGCCAGCAAGAGACGCAGTGTCAATGACTTCATGGAGGAGTTTTCCTTCTCCCAGCCCATCGAGCGTTGCGCTGGCCTTGGCCCGGTGGCTTGCGCTGCTCTTACGGGAGATCGCGATCTAGTCCGCAACCTGGTGAATGCCAAGGCCTGCCTGCAGACCCACGCGCCAGCCATGCCGGAAGTGATGTACGCGCCAGACTACACACCCTTGCACCTGGCCTTATGGTTTAGACCCCACGACTTGCAGGTTGCGGAAACGCTCTTGGAGCTGCAGGCGGATCCTTGCGCCAGCACTATCAATCTGTGCCCGCCTCTGGGCTATTGCCGGTCAGCTCGCGCCGTGGACCTCCTGATTCGGCATCGTGCAGGGGTGAACTTTCAGGGCAAGACACTTACACAAGCTTGCCCCATTCACAATGTGACTTCGTATGGGGCCCCTTGCGAAGTGGTGTCCAGATTGATCGAGCTCCAAGCTGACGTGCATGGCGGAAGGGGGGGAAACGCCGCCCTGTCACCTCTGCACACAATCGCATCTGGGTTGATCTGGGATGTTTTTGAAAGGTCCATGTGGTCTCATCCCCTGCAGAACCCCTTTGAACCCCATAGACTAAACTACCCTAAACCCTAAACCCTAAAGTTGACTCCAAGGCCTTTTCTGGCGATTCCAAGAACGACCTTCACAACGCGCAGCTGCTGCTGGACAGGAGGGCAGACGTCGATCAGGTTTGCCAACCCCAGGGGCTCTTCAGGGTCTTCGAGCTCTTGGCCACTCAGGGATCCTTGGGAATGGTTTTTTTTTTCATTTTTGGTGGCACTATAACTCCTAAGAAACAGCTGAAAATGTGATTTCTTTAGCTTTTTTTTAGTTTTTTGGGGCACTATAACTCCTAAGAAACAGCTAGAAATGTAATTTCTTGCTGGGGTTCCAAGTTCAGTATAGGCCAGGGCCATCTCCCGCTGCGCAAGACAGCCCCGAGCATTGACGACGCTTGTGAGCAACCTGAGCGCGACGCCCCTGGGTTGGTGCGCAGTTTTTGAGAACGAGGGGCTGTTGATCTTCCTGATTCGTGCATATGCGGATCCCGACATCAGGAGTAACCGGGGTCTCCGACCCATTGACATCACCAGTTCTCGGCGAATCCGCGTGCTGCTCAGAGATCCCACGCCTTTGCGCATTGACCCTCTGGAGCAGAGCTTGGACCCTGAGCAGGATGAAATGGTGGTCGAGGTTTTGTAAGGGGATTCGTGGCTGTCTCACCGATTCGTTCTCCTCTGTCTCACATTGCTGTTCATGTGTTCATCCCTCATCCCCCCCATTCCTAGACTGGTAGTTGAAGAGGTTGGTCCTGCTGCTTGGTCAGCAAACCATATCACCTGGACTTGTGCGAGTGAAGGGGAAATGAACTCATGATCAGAGTCGGGTGTTATCACATCTGCTTTGCCTTGTGAGAGACGGTTGTGTCTGACTGTCTTTCAAACTCTAGCATTTCAAAAGCTCAAAAGGGTTCACAGATTGGGGCAGCAGTGGCCCCTAAGGATGTTCTGGGTTTAGGCTGAGGGTTTGAGGGCTCAAAGGGTCTGGGGCCCAGGCTCCAGGGGCTTGCTGCTGGGGCAGTTGGAGATGCTGAGAAGCTCGAAGCTCTCTATTTCTTGGCTGTCTTACCGATTCGTTTTCCTCTGTCTCACCTTGCTGCTCACGTGTGTTCATCCCCCATTCCTAGGTTGAGTTGAAGAGGTTGGTCCTGCTTGGTCGGCGAACTATAACACCTGGAGTGGGGGGAAATCAACGCATGAGCAGATTAGGGTGTAATCACATGTGCTTGGCTTTCTGAAAGACGGTTGTGTCTTTCAACGGCTTGCCGCTGGAGCAGTTGGAGATGAGAAGCTGTCAAAGCTGATGCACTTCGGGTGTGGCGAGTCACGCTCAGTGCTGTTTAGGGGTTTAGGGGTTTAGGGTTTAGGGTTTAGGGTTTAGGGCTCAGGGCTGGGGAAAGGAGCAGCCTACCATGTCATGTTCCCTTGCCGAACCCTTCGCAGTTTCGCTGGGCCCTCAAACAGTCTTCATTAAACCCTAAACCCTAAACCCTAAACCCTAAACCGATCCAAAGCCCTAAAGCTGCAAGAAGCATGGAGACCTCCCCCCAGGCCGGCGCTTGTTTAGGGAGAGATTTCTCTGGTCGTCAACCCTAAGCCCTAAACCCCAAAAACAAGCATGAGAAGCCAAAAACGAGTATTAACGAAGGACTTCTTGTATTCATATTGGCGTATAAAATGCTATAGTAATGAATAATTCTGGGATTCATTTCTTCCCTTTGCCTTTGCACATTATTAAATTGTATTTACGCCGTCCTAATTTCTATTATATTCTGAGAAAGCTAAACACAAGACAACAATAAATGCGAATGAAAGCATTCTATTAGTCATGAATCAAAAGAGAGAAAGAATCCTCTCCGGAACAGAAGATTATTGGAAAGAGAGAAACCATGAAGTGAATAAGTTTCTTGCCTTGGAAAACCTTGTATTATTCGTGCGCGAATCGCAAACCCTAAAACCTGAACCTTAAATCCTAAACCCTAAACCCTAAACCCTAAACCCTAAACCCTAAACCCTAAACCCTTCAGATTCTGCAGCTGTTTGCGGCTCTCAGAAGCTCCATTTGGTCCATGGCACGGCTACATGAGATCTTTGAAGAGTCTGAGGCCATCCCACAGCCCAAAGGTTGATATTCCCCTGAAGGGTTTAGGGTTTAGGGTTTAGGGTTTAGGGTTTAGGGTTTAGGGGAAGCTTAGGACGACTTCCGCCCCGCACGATCTTTGGGGCGTATGAAGTCACTGCCAAGTTTGCGTGTAGACAGGGCAACCACATGGTATGGCAACACGAAAGTTAAATATCGGAGTTTCCGATTGAAAATATGGGTAAATTTTAGTGGGGTTCCTAACGTAAGGATGATACTTGTAACATTTCATGAAAAGAAATTACGGGGACCCTAACCCTACGCCCCCTCGAAAGAAATGAAGCATGTACTCATACGTATGTGGGTGGTTGTCAAAAACTATGGTCCCTTTTTATCCCCATTATAATACGGCACCTAATATTTAGGGGATCCCAAACGGGATCATAATTTTGCCAGCCACCCATGTGTACGTAGATAGGTGGGCGCGGCACCAGAGCTCTTGTGGGAGTGCGCCGCCGGCCTGAGCTCAGAAAGATGGTTTTGCCATGTTTTGCTTTTGGGTTGAGGGTTTGGGTTGGTGGGTCCTGGCAGGGTTTAGGGTTTAGGGTTTAGGGTAGTAGGGTTTCGAGTTTTTTTTGGTTTAGGGTTCAGGGTTCTGGGTTCAAAAAGGGTTAGGGTTTCGGGTTTAACGGTTTAGGAGCGGCACAGTGCCTGCAACAGATACAAAATCACAAGAAACGGATGCTCAGAATCGATACCACAGTCAGCACATCCAGTAGAAATCTTCGTAGGGTTTAGGGTTTAGGGTTTAGGGTTTAGGGTTTAGGGTTTAGGGTGTAGGGTTTAGGGTTTAGGGTTTAGGGTTTAGTTTGCGAAATGAAAACGGACAGTTAATTCCACGAAGGAAACCACGCGATTCGCTGTCATTCATGCCACGCACGATCAAAGCCAATCGCAGAGTGACCCCAAAGCAATAAACCCTAAACCCTAAACCCTAACCCCTAACCCCTAAACCCTGAACCCTGAACCCTAAACCCTAAACCCTAAACCCTAAACCCTAGACCCTAGACCCTAGACCCTAGACCCTAGACCCTAACCCTAACCCTAAACCAAATGAATACGGAAGCCTTGCGTCTGGCGCCAAGCCGGATCATGTGTCCAGGCTGGGCTTTGCTTGGCGTGGCCAGATGTGGAGTGTCTATGTAGACTTGGTAGCCCAGTTGTGCCCTTTAGACTATCAAGTAACCAAAGGGTGCACCAAGCAGAACTACAAAATGGGTATCATCGCACCATAGAGAGAATGAGATATGTGAGGCACCCGGAAAGCGCATGAAGCCTCCCAACCGCCCAGGTCGCACTGGCTCCATTTCTAGACGATCTTGCGCCACTGAAGCCGGAAGCGCGCAGCAAGGCGTCAGATGAGCATTGCTGTGGTATGGCGAGGTTGCAGGTGTACTGTAATCTTCGAGGTCTTGATGTGGAACTCATCTTCCGTGGGCGATATGCTGGCATAGCGTCTCAAGTCGCGCAGGTCTGCGACGTTGTGCGGCACATCGTCAGGGGCAGACTCCGCGAGTGGAACGTGCGTCCGGATCCCTCTCCGCTCGATCCGGAGCTGTACAAACTTGCGGTTGAGGCCATGTAACCTAGAAGTTTTTGGGTGTAAGGTTTAAGGTTTTAAAGGTTTTGCCGCCATTCGGGGGTTGAAAGGGCTTTAGAGCTAGGGGTTCAGGAGTTTCCGTAGGGTCACCTGTATGCCCTTCACAAAAGGAAATGGATTCAAGACTTAAGGTTTCCCTGTCTCACAGGCATACAGGATGCTCCAGATAAACCCCTCCTAGCAGCTGTAGAAGCCCCAAGCTAAACAACTTCTCAGCAGCAATGAGCGAAGGGTATCATTTCTTGGGATTTGGAGGCTCGTGGAAGTTATATGGTTGGAGGGTTTAGAAGTCTCAAATGGGCTTAAACGGTCTTGGTTCTTACAAGGCTTTTGGGGTTATGCGGCAGTCTCAGTGCAGCAAACAGGCAGGCATACTCAGCAGCCTCGGACATCGGTAAGATGATCTCAATGGGACAGCTTTTCCGCCCGGTAACCCTAAACCCTAAACCCTAAACCCTAAACCCTAAACCCTAAACCCTAAACCCTAAACCCTAAACCTAAACCCTAAACCCTAAACCCTAAACCCTAAACCCTAAACCCTAAACCCATTCCTATAGTTTTCACAAGGCGGGCATGGAGCTCAGATGAAAGTTTGTGCTCGCGCAGGCTACGTCAGTAACCAGCACCGCTTTCTTGGTCTCTCCGCCAGCGTTTGGCAAGTCTGGGGATGCCATTAACCAATCATAAATGTACCTTACAACCCACTTATAAGCCCCTTAAGTGCCCTAACATGGTTACACCAATGATAAATGTACTTGCAACCCACTTATAAGCCCCTTAAGTGCCCTAATATGGTTACAGGTACAGTTAAAAATGGTTTGGTGGTTAGGCGTTGAGCTTTTGCAGTCTACCAGAGATTTTGGTCCCGTGCTGGGTTCCCTGTTGCAAGATTCAGGGTGTTTGTATACTGTGCTTGCGCAGTTGTTGTGCCGAGTTTTGCTCTCAGGCTTCCTTCTTTGTATATAATGAACTAAAATATGTTGGTCCATTATTTCATCATTATACTATGATAATAGAAGATTAGTACATTACCTGCATTCTCGCGATTGAGCCATCCGAGCCAAAAGCCATTTTCCATCCGAAAAGCTGCCCAATGCTATACTGAATTTCTCTACATTCATGTAGTATCAGGTAACTATAGTGCCTATATTCCTACAGTACTAAATTACCCATGACAATTATATGGCTATATTCATTGCAATAGGCTAGCATTCTGCCATTGCTATATACTACACTACGTTGTATGGCCATATGTTTACTGGCTGCAAAAATACATGACTATATGACTCAATGGTTCGACGGTCATGCGACTCTGTGGTTATATGATTATATGAGTACGCGGCTCGATGGTTTGATGGATGTATGAGTCTATGATCATACAACGATTTTGTGGTTATATGCTTATATGAGAGTGTCTTGCCTGACAGTATTAAGGTATTAACATAGTGTATGCTCATCATGGTATGTTGCCATATTAGTATCTACGCGTCTTATTTTTGCATTGCCCTTTACACTCGTCTAGTGCAGTAGCCTTGACTTGTTCTCAACACTACGCAATGCTTCTATGCAATGTGTCCATGATGTTCGCTTCCATGTTGATGCTGCTACACGCTTATAAAATCTTGTCCTACAAACCCTAAACCCTAAACCCCTAAAGCCCTCTACTACGGCGATGTTTCTGTACGATCCCAGGTCTGGTGGGTCGAGCTGCGGGCCGAAGCTCAGAAGGCCTCGCAGGCCATCTCGCAAGCCCCGAATTCAACGGGCCCGTGTTACAAAGGGTTTAGGGTTTAAGGTTTAGAGTTTAAGGTTTAGGGCTTAGGGTTTAAGATTTAGGGTTTAAGGTTTAGGGTTGAGGGTTTAGGGCACCCAAGAAGGGGTCCTAATTTAGATCAACCCCCAA